ATTGTTTAGTGAGATTGTTCATCTATAAGTTCGGAAATACCTCCCTTGTTTTAACTTATGGGATGACAAAGTAACACTGGTGGCAAGATGAGTCTGGAACAGTTGAATCTTTTGTGAGAAGCATATATATATAGGTTTGTTCTCCCAGCCTTATCTATAATTTCTCCTAGCACAAGTATCTCTCCTCACCTAGAAACAAGTGTGAAAGTCTTTCGTTTCGTGAATACGTTTTTGACTGAATTGTATTCGAGTGTTTTGTGTCTAATGCAGATAAGATAACCTGCTTTTGAATAGCTCTAAAACTTGTCTTCACCAACTCAATCCTGAAGAAACATTTAAAGGATTTTTGAATCGACCTTTTTTTTTTGACAGAAATGTAATTTTTAGGGTTTATAATAACATACTGTCACAATTTGTTTTTCAAAAATGTAACATAAAGGCCAAAATATAGTGAAAAACTGCCGATATTGTGATGCACTTCCACTCGCCCAATAGTTGATCAAGTTGAAAGTCTTGTGACTTGAGGACACATTTTACATGAAGATTTGTGGCTGTCATTCTGCATTGAGTCAAGCTGTTTATTACAGTGAAAATAGAGATGAGCTTTTAGGGTGTACATGATAATAAACTTCACATTTAACCTTATCAACTTCAGCTCCTAGAAGAGGTTTCTACTCAAGATTCACAAAGTGGAAGGTAGCAATATTCTTCAGAACATACTAAGGAGGAGGAAGAAGTAAACAGGAAACAACTTGGTAACGCTGATTTGTAAATATGTTATATAGCTATAACCTGTGTTGGCTATAGCAGTCCATTTCACACTGGTTTCAGCTCACAATTTGCTGTTGAAATATACAACTCACTAGTGATGTGTGTGTTTATAACAATAAGGAAATGTAGGGGTTTCCATCGAGTAGAAGCAACTTATTATTTTATAGTGGGTTTCTATCGAGCAGAAATAATCTGGATTTGTTATAGCAAGGTTCCACTGAGTGCAAGCAAAAAAGCTCTTACAAACAGAAGGGCATCATCAAATAGCGACTTTGTAATTTTCGATCAGCAGGTGGGTCAACATTTTGATTTAATCCAGACATTATCATTATTCATTTGGCTAACGACTTCATTCAAGGCCTAGCTTTTCGTTATTGTTATTATTATTTATTTGGCTAACGAATTATTCAAGGCCTAACATTAATAATAACAATAACTACTAGCTTATGTTGCAGGGGCACTTGGGAGATGAGAAAAGTATTGAAGTGAAAATCTAGTATTGAGTTAAAAAAAAGGGGAGAATAATTAAAATAGAGTATCATTCCCCAAACTATTTTCATATTTTTATTTAACAGTATAAATATACTTATATCAACAAAAATAAATAAGTGTAAGAAAGACTCACTTTACAGTGATGTCTGTTTTCGTATGCTTTCCAAGGTCTGGTATTCAGTCAGTGAATTGTCATTGTTGAATTGTATATGACACTTCCCATTTGCTTCTGAACTTCTAGATTTTGATATACCTTTACCATAAAATATTGTTAGCATGGCATATGGTTTTAATTTATTACAACCTCTACGGTGGCCAATTATAGCCAGACCATCAACGTCTTTTTTTAAGTCACATTTAAAGTAGTCCGAACATACCTTGCAGTATTTGGTTGGAGTAAAGTTAATGCATTTAATTGTATGTGTTCAAACCTTTCTTATTAGAGAATACATTAGAAAATGAAAGAAATTAATCTTTTTTATTTTTGTTAGTGCACCCATTAACTACACAATACATACACCAACGAAATCTCAAAATTCCTCACATCAAATTCAATGCCTGTTATGACAGCTGGCTTATACGTTTGATTTCCGTGACGCTGAGTGTCTTCAGCAACATGTGCAACATAATGTCGACACGGTTTCACTTCTTTTTCTTGTTTTTTTTGCTTTTAGGTCACATTAAAAAACAAATTAAGATAACATGTTACAGTTGGTCCTAAACATTACATTTCTTCAAAGCAGTTGATTCATAAAGCCTTTATTCTGCCATTCCTCCAGTTATTGTATTACTACTCGTACCTGTAGGAAGTCAGTGCATCTGAGAATACCTCAACTGACCAATCAGAACACTCGATTGTAAATCTTAACACCCTCTAAAATTTGAGGAAACTTGGACTCCTACAACTTTTCTTTAATCTGGAGTAATTAATAATTTAGCCAATCCACGTCTGGACCAGTATGTTTTCGTATGGAATAGCATGAATATCCATTTTATTCTTCATCTGTTTGAGGTATACAACAGTTAAATGGATATGTCGTGGAAGAAACTTGTGTGCACCTGAACTGTGTTGCTTTTCTGTACAGAGATTCTTTTTGATTAAACTGCGTACTGTTGCCTGGGGCTAATTGACGTTTTTTTTTAATTGACCTTTGTGTTCACGTGTTCTCACTTGTTCCGAGAAACAACACTTTCTTTACCTCGGCTGAGGTTCAGTTTCTTGAATGTCTTTTTCATTAACTACAAGCGATATCCTAAATCTCCGATCTGGACAATCGTTATGATCTGAATATGAATATTTTGCGATGGAAAGAGTTGCTGCACACTTTTCCCAAAATTAATCAATTTTCGGTGGCGTCAGACTACCTAAGAAATGTCATATAATGATAAGATATAGTTCCGATACATCCCACCGCACGTTCATATCGGCTGTGATTGTTAACTTGTTGATTTGTATATTTAAAATTGTTTCAATATAATGCACTCATATTTCTGTACATACTAAAGTTTGTGGAATTATGGTTTGTCAGCATGTTATACAAACTAACTACCATCTTCTCACCAACATTCGTATGTTTTTAATTTACATTTGCTAAGAAAATTGCTTTAATATAATGCTTTGTTTGTTTGTAATTAAGCACAAAGCTACACAATAGGCTATCTGTGATCTGCCCACCACGGGTATCGAAACCCGGATTCTAGCGTTGCAAGTCCGCTGATTAATATAATGCAGTCATCTTTCTGTACACACCAAAGTTCGTGAAATTAAGGTTCGTCAGCATGTTATACAAACTAACTAATATTATACCATCTTCTCACGAACATTCGTATCTTTTTAATTTACATTTGCAAAGAAGGAAAAATTTAGCCGAAAATGATTGTTCGAAAAATTTGCTGATTAACTAAAGAAAGTGACTCATTTTATTAATAAAACTACTTAGAATATTATTTCTATTTCAAAATTTTTATATTTATACAGCTGTGCCACTTTACGGACTTACAATGCTGAAATGCGGGGTTCGACTCTCCGATGTGGAGAGAATGCATATATCCCATTATGTAATTTTGCACTAAAAAGCAATATGTGTATGTCTTTGCTTCTATATATTTACAGCTGTTAACAACATTCAATCTACACTTTTTCGTAATTTTCCGTATATATATATACACAGCGTGGTCACAAGTAAATAGACACCATCTTTTCACACAAAAAAAAGAAAATGTTCAGTCATATTCACATGAATTGATATATTTATAATCTAATTAATATCTAGTAGGTCTTCCTTTCGCTTCGTAGAGTTCGTTGATCCTTTGGAGCATCGTGAGAATCATCTCGACAATTCTAGATTGTGGGATTTCCGCCCACTCTTGCTTCAAAACTTGGAATAGATCAACTTCGAAGAGCGGTTTTTTTGGTTGTTTCTTGACTTGCCGGTCGAGTATGGCCCAGAGGTTTTCGATGGGGTTCATGTCAGGAGATTGGCTCGGCCAGGGCAACTTCTGGATACCATTTGCTCCTGCACTTTTGGGTGTTTCTAGCCAGTGTGACACGGTGCTCCGTCTTCCTGGAACAACGTTGTGTTCTTGTCCACGAAACCCCGAGGAATAAAGTGGCAAGAGTCCTTCCTCCAATATTTCGACGTATTTCGCAAAATGTTTGTTGCCAACGCACTCCACTAAGCTCGGTCTCCCACCAACCCAAACAAATCCCCAAACCATCACGCTGAAACCACTATGCTTCACA